GGCGGCAGGCCCCGGGGGAGGCCATCGTGTGGCTGCCCCGCTGGCCAGATCTTGTCCCAGAGGGACAGGAAGTCCAGGCGCTCTCAGGGGAAGGACTCCATGCCCAGGGCAGTGCGCTGGGCGGCCAGCCCCGGTCACCACGTGGGGCCAGGGGCGGCCAGGGAGGCTGAGCTCTGCGGCCATGGGCGGGCGGCCGCCAGGTCTGTGGGAGCGTGGGAGGCGCGCGGTGGGATTGCAGAGTCCAAGCGTCTCCTGTGTGGTGTCCCTACCTGGGGGTGTGTGACAGGTGACACTATAGAAGGCCCCTCCCCGGCTTCCTCTCCCTGACCTCCTCCCACGACCACGACCTTCGGAGGCAGCTAGGGACCGAGGCAGGCGCTGGCCCTTGGGAATGGGTGCCGGGGCAGGCAGGGCAGGTGGGCCTCAGTGGGAACCAGCGGAGATGGGAGGGGTCGAGCAGCGGGGCTGGCAGAGTTGGGCGGGACCGGCAGGATTGGCAACTCCGCCAGGCTGCAGAACCCCCTGTGCAGCACGGGAGAGGCATCAAGGGCAAGCACGCTGGTAGGGCAGCCCCTCAGAGAGCCGGGTCCGCCAAGGAGGTGCCAGCCTCTTGTCAAGCAGCGAACCGGGTTTGAGAACCGCCTGGGTGGAATGTTGGCTAAGCGGGACAGAACGCACCCGCCTGGAGCTCTGGGCAGTCTCGGCCAGGCTTGCTGAGGCAGGGAGGTGAGCCCCAGGTCCCGTTTCCGCGTTGTAGGCGGGATGTTGGTGATCGCGGGACCTGGGCGGGCCGGGCCTGCAGGGAACACTCCATGGGTGCAGTGCGCAGAGGGTGCCTGAAGCGCTGGGCAACTCCAGGGTCAGGAGACGCTGCAGACCACTGCTGGGGGCAGGAGGCCCCAGAGGGCGTCCTTGTGCAGGGCAGGGGCAGCAGGCCTGTGACAGGTGGGGTCCCGGCACCCGCTCAGTGCTCCTGGACAGTGCTAGCTTCTGCCCACAGAAGCGAACTCCACCTGCTGCCCAGGTGCGGCCTACACTGGGCAGGGTCAGGAGAGCAAACCCTACAGCCAAGTTCCGGGGTGTGGTCCTGGGGAGGGTTGAGCTGACGGGTCCCCTCTGCAGACATTCGCCCCTCCGTGTCCTGCTCCCAGCACAGCCCCTTGGCAGCTGGGTGGTCTTGGTTGAGTGCCACGCCCCTCTTATGACCACGGAGACCTGCCCCACCTCTCGCACGATCAGGGCCTGAGGTGCATGCTTTCTGGTTGCGTGGGCTCACCGAGGTGTGGCGGCTGGCCAGCCCACGGAAAGCACATGCTGCCTCCATGCCCTCAGACTCTGTGGAAATGGCTCCAGAACCTGAGGCCTCTCGGAGGGGTGTGGCCTGGTGAGTGTCCATGCCAGACTCCCGTGGAGTCTCGCTGTTGGGGGGGTTCAGAAACAGATGTTGCACACACAGAACTAGGGTCCCCAACAGGGTCTGGAGCTCGTGCCGTGACCTTGCTGTGAATCTGCCACCTGCTTCTCTCGTGTGTGCAAGCGTGGGGTTTTACACACCGTTTTTTTAAAACATTTTTCTCATTCATAAAGGGGAACACATGGGTGCATGAGAGACAGGAAGCACCCCGGAGGGCTTCGTCACACCGAGGCCCTACTCCTGTGCTCCCAGCGAGCCTGGGGCCAGCAGGATTCGGACGCCGTTTGGTCACGTGGGGTCTGGCTTCCTTGGCTGGGCAGCGAACGGCTGAGGCACGGGGCGGCCCCATGGTCCTCCGCAGCTCCCGTCTCCCCCATTCAGCTGCAGGAAGGCCTCCCGGGCTCCCTGTGCTCTCCACACAGGACTCAGGCATGCAGGTCACTGTGCAGACCCCTGCAGGCACTCCCGGCCTCAAAGCAACGGGGACCTGGCCCCAGGGCTCAGCGCACCTTCACGCCCAGAGCCCAGGGCAGGAGTGGGCAGCAGGGAGCTGGCCAGAGAGAAGGGCGGGCAGACCACGCTGGGCCGCTGCGCTGTCTGGTCCCAACCACCCCCACGGCAGAGGCCTTCTCCCTCCTTCGAAGGTCTCCCTCCCGGAGGCCAAGCAGGGGAGCCCACTCCCAAGGAGCGCTCAGTCTGTCAGGTAACGGGGACGAGGCCTGAGAGGACGGCAGGGACTCACCCCAGAGGGAGTGGCCAGAGGTGCAGTGATTAAGGGCACTGGACTCCCACATGGCCCACCACAGCTGGAGTCTCGGACCTGGCAGCTGGCTTTCTCACTTTGTCCTCTCTCTGGCCAAATGAAAATAAATAAATAAATGAATAAAGTTAAATAAAATAATTTTAAAAAAAAAAATGTTTAAACTTCAGCTGCTTTTCTTTTTCTTTTTTTTTTGCAATTTGTCAGGAGGCACGTGAACTTGCAGGAAATAGAGAGATCGCCCCCTAGGGGCTTGGCCACACCACAACCCTTTCTCCTCCATTCTCCGTTGGGGTTTTGGGCAGACACACACTCATGCCCGGAGTGTTTTCCAAGCTGCCGGATGGGGGACTCAAACCTGCAGCCAGCCACCCTAGCCCTCACACCACAGGCTGGCTTTCTGCTGCTTCCCACCCACTTCCTCCTTCCCAGGCGGGCCTCTGACCTTCACCCCACACCCTTTCTCCAAAGAAGCCGCTCGGAGCTCTTGTGAAGGCCCTGAGCTGCAGCTGGTAGGCTG